TCAAAGATAACTACACTTACTACAATAGCTCACTTTTAACTATTGTAGTTAAACAAGATTTTAATTACCTGCAATTGTGGGGAAAAAAAGTTTCATTCATATTCCACAAATGAAAGTTTCTGGCAGCTTGCTGAAATATTCAGTTCCCAAAGACATGGGAAACAATCTTAGCAACCTTTTTATCACAAGTGTCAAAACCTGGTTATTACATAACATGTTATTTAACCTTGCTGAAGTCCCTGCACGGCAAACTGCAAGATCTTCAACAGGCACAAAAATAAAGTGGTACTGAAGGCATTAATAAACTCTAGCAGCAAAATAACTGTGTTTAGTAATGAATTTTCAGGATCTCCTTTTAGCCCATCAAAATTGGTTCTTACACATAATCAAAACAAAATCAAGTCACTTTGAAGTTTGGCATTTAGAGTGTATTAATAAGTTATGTGGCAAGCTGGTAATCAAATAGTCCCACAAACTAAAGAACCATTTTCACCTGCTGGCTTTCTTAAGATTTCTCTCTGACCCACGACTTGTTTTTTTTGTTTTTTTGTTTTTTTTTCCCAAATGGGAAAGTTGCTCCAAATACTTGTATTAGAACACTTTCTGATTTTCTCACTTGAAGACGAAAAATACCAAGAATAAAGAGCCAAAAATCTATAATGTTCCAAGTTAGAACATTAGGTTCTTGTTAAATACAAGTCAATCATAATACCTACGGTTTGAGAATAGTAGGATTTAGATTTGTAAATGCTTAAGTTTGAAATAAGCAAACTGAAGTCTGGAAGTCTGTCCTGTTACTGACTGCCACACCACAGATACAGCTGAGTCAACGATAAATGCTGGAAGCCTTATTTATGCAAATAATATTTGCTATTCTGGGCCCTTGCAAAGGGTCTAGTCTGTACATGACAGTAGACAAACCCCCGTAACTTCAAGTTTCTCCACTTTCACCATTTCTTTTCCAGTTCTCAAATAACAGACATATCACACAAAACTTCTAGGTTGCATGAAGGTGCTGACCAAATCTCTTTGAAAGACACTCAGATTTGCTGAGCTGAGCACAAAGATGAAACTCAGAAGTGCTAAGTTAGCTTCAAGCTTCAGAAGTGGCATACAAAATCAGATACAAAATCAGTGACTGACCGATGCTTAAGAGTATTGGTAGGACACAAGACCAAAGGTACCCTCACCTTCTTCCTTATTGCTTTCTCTTTATGCAATTCCTCAACTCATTACTACCTGTCTTTGAGAGCAATGAAATACTCTTCATACTTTCCCAATTTCCCTCTTACCTGAACAAGTGCATGGCTTTCTGCTCCATACCTTGCTCCCACTGTGATTCTGTCTGACTACACTTCCATCAGCCAGCCAGCCAGTTGGTCAGGGTATGAATTCAAGCCCTGTCCTGTGTACAGTTTGATTGCCAGCACTTCTGGTCTTGGTGTGGGTTCCTGTGTTTCCAGTCCATGCCCAGACATGCTTTAGGACACTGTGTGGACCAAGGACTGCTCCCAGTAGGCAGTACAGGCAAGACTGCCCTTTTGCACAGAAGGAATTTAGGAAGGCTGAAGAGGAGGAGCATGGATCACTTGGTCATTCATCCTAAAGATACTGGGCTGAGTTTGGGCACACATGCAGAGTACCATCAATTCCAATACTTAACAACTCCCAAACCCTCACTGCTGTGCCACGTAGATCAGCTCAGGCACCACTACTCCCCGACACCTGACCCCTTCATTTGCCTCATTAAGATCCCTTTTCCCCTCTCTCTCTTCCCAAGCATGTATTCAGTGTTATGTGGCTCTTGGACTACAGAGACCAATAGCTTTTTCCTCCCCATTGTGAAGCAGAAGTGGGGTGCTGGTACAGAAACTCCTACAGAAATCTCTGTATGTGTGTGTGTGCAGCTTCTGCAACAAATACGAAAAAATAAGAGCAGGCAGCATGCATAGTTGCAGCTAGGAAACAGTCAAGATCCCTAGAAATCCCATGAAAGACTGGTTCCCTTTTCCTGCCTTGTAACCTGCAGATACACAGCCCAGCCCAGCTGCTGCAGCCTTGGGCTGTGCACTGTGAAGGGGCGTGTGGGCAGCAGCCTGTGTGGGGAGGTCAGAAAAGCCTTGGCTATATTAATTAGAAGAGCAGAGATGAATCCCCCAGAGAGATGAAGAGATTTAACAGAGAACAAAGCACATATCCATCGTGCTACTCAAAGCTAAGACCATGGATTTAACCACTGCAAATGTCATCTCCTTCCAAAAGTAAGTCTACATCTCTGATAATATTGACAGAATCATCAAATGCAACATTAATTCCTGAAGGAATGGCTCAGTTTAGTTCAAACTTCTGCAAGGTTTCAAATTAAAAAAAAAAAAAGTCAGCAGTTGTGACATAAAAAAGCTCCAAGCATTGCAATGTGGATATTTCAGTTATAAAATCACAGGGCTACCAGCTGTAGCTGTAATGAAAATAGCCTGTGTTACACCCCAAAAGGGAAAGCCTCTAAACATACCCACTGACAAGCCTACTAAAACGCACAAGTCTGCCAAGAAAGGTGCTGCTGACTTAACTAGAGTTTTCCCTCAAAATCAAAACCTATCTTTGGGAAGGTAAAGAAGAGCAACCCTGACATCTAATTCATTGAACTGAGAGATTGAAATCTACCGCATAAAGAGATGTTGCCATTTCCCATTAAGTCATCTTTATTCCATAAATCCTTTCACGTGGATAAACTAGTGCCTACTTTACAAAGTGACACCAGGCAACTTTTATGATCAGGTGTTGAGAGTGGTGTGAATGCTGGCAAAATAGTTTGGTGAGTATCTTGTGGAGTTTGTAAAATTTTCCTATATCCAGCTGCATTGAAAGAACATAAGGAGAAAAAATTCTGCTACAGAATACAGTCACAGCAATTTCTGTAAAGAACATTTTAAAGAAAATTAAAAGATTTGAAAAACCAATTCTAAGAATAAATGAAGAGAAAAATGTATCCTACTTATGCAAATAAAGGCCAAATATGCTGATTAAGCAGTCGCTGCTCAGGAAATGATCAGAAATGTCAAACACAAGTTTATACTACTCAGAAGAAATAACTCTTAAGGGTATGTCAATGAGTCAGTTATTCCAAATAAATCACTTTCATGGGACAAAGGTTTCTAAAACAGAAGCAAGTATAATGTACATAACATTTTTGCAGAATATGTCATATAAGGCCTGGTAAATGATAAATGCTTAAGAGAACTGCTGTTCTTTAAACTGTAAGATATAAATACAAAATGGCATTTGAATCTAAAACCTATACTTAAGGTGGAAAACTAAACAAAAGTGCAAGTTGAGTAGCTTCCAACAATCCAGCCATTAAAGAAATGGACATCCATTATTAAATTTGGCACCACCGTTATTTATTTTAATTTCCTTGTTCCAGTTTGGGAAAATTCATCTACTTGCTGCTGATGCCAATGCAAAATTCAATTACATATGATTATGAAGTATTATGAAAATAATTTAGTGAGGTGTTGAACTGCAGGCTTCTATTTACAGGAATATCAGTAACAATATACTGTTAGTGACGCACGTCAGTGTTATCTGTGAAGTTGCTTTGGTAAATCTGCTTGACTCCTGCATTGAACAACTAGTGGAATACAAAATTTCTGACATTTTCTTATCTTATAAGCATTACTGAGAAAAAACCAGGTGCATTAAAAATAGGAAATGTAGGCAATACCATCTAAAAGTTTCCAGTACCAAATATAGCAAGATATATGTAAACCCAAAGATTATCATGTTAATAGTCATGTTAAACTCTACAATGTTCCTCCAAATAGAGCTCAGCTCATCCTTTTAAGTAGAGTTTGTTATTTTCTGTTGTCTTACCCTGGTTTTTAAACATCTAGATAATACTAAGCTAATAAGACAGGAATTCAGTATTACAAAAATACCTTTAGGGAAAAAAATTCTTATGCACAAAATAAAATTAGTTTATCTTTCAGGCTTTTGACACTACACAGGAGCACTGTTCAATATCCTCTATTTACATTATAAATGTAAATATAAATGCTAAATTACTGCTTATATAAACTATTTTAGATCCACTCCTATTAACTCCTTCTTAAAAGGATAATTAATTCTCAAGCATGGAAGAGACCTAATTAAAACTGACTTTTGCATAACTTATTAGAAAGAGTACTTTGTTTTCAGAAAGTGTTTCTAACATTAAGCATGTCAACTACAAGAGCTTTGAAGTGCTCAATGTACTGTGCTTACTTCACTACACTGATCAGAGCTGCCTCATCAGCTCTCTGTACCAACAATAAGTCCTCTGGCCCAAAAAAAACCCCAAAGGAAAAAAAAAGGAAAAATACCAAACCCAGGCCTTCGCCATTTAATTGAAGAGGTTCCTACTTGTTCAAGGCCTTTCTAGAGTAAAAGCTTCAATAATAAACTTTGCCCTCAGCTGCATATTTGCCACTCAATAGGGTGATTTGTATGTGCAGCTGTGAGGACCTGATGCCTCGTAAGACTAAAGCAGTTCAGTTGTGCCAATAGTTCAGCCTAACTCATGATATTCAACTTTACTGCAGGAGACAAAGGAACCTAAGTAGTATGTATGGCATGTGACTTTCAATAAACACAACTAAAATATGTGGAAGATTTCATAAAGGGAAAATGTAAAAGGTTTGCATAGTGAAAAAATCAACGCTTGAAGGGTCCCAATTCTTCTATCCAGAAAAGCTGAAAAGGCCGTTTTTTACTTTATAATGGCAAATACTCTATTTCCTTTTTCCTTCCTCCAGTTCAGCTCATTGCCTTCCATCTACCTAAGACAGAAAAAGAGCATATAAACAGAGCAGTAGATTTCCTATCTTCCAGCTTCCTGCTTTATCTATCAATAATCTAAATTCTTTAGCCTTGCATTATGCGTGTAATACCAAGAACACAGTCCTCAGTTGGCCCCTGGAGACTAAACAGAGCATTAAAAGTTAATCAGCAACACTCCTTACCACATTGAAATCCAAGTTTTTTTCAACCCACTCCGTGGCTTCCTTGAACTCCTCTTTCATTTCCATGATGTATAATGTATCAAGGGCATCCACAATTGTCGCTCCTTGTATGTTACCTGAAATACATGAAGAGCCAGTGATTTACTTTCCAACAGAAGACTTTTCAGTTAGATCTAATTAATTTAAATTAATTCTAATTTCAAAATCCAATTTCAATTAATCCAATTAAAAACTGGGTGCATAAGCATTCAAGTGGTAACTAGTAATTCACAGCCCTTACTTTGATTCCCATGCCACAACACAACATCATAATATTTAAGTATTTCTTCCACTAATGAACTTTTGAAGAGCTGTTCTAATGTACAGTATTTTCAGCCATAATTTTGCATTTTAAACCATTGATAGAACAGTTCACCGTAAAATGACATAAAACACTGTAAGTCTTGGTAATTGAGAAATTCCCGTTCCTTCTAGTTTGGAATGGAAACAATCAGCTGCTTTTTTGTTTTTATTGTCAAAAATATACATAAAACTTTAAGAAGCTGGTGAGTACTGACCCCATCTTAGTTAGGAAAGCCCTTTAAGAAGTCTGCACAAGCACTGGGGGAGGCAAAGCCAAAGGCAAATTTGCACATATGGATTTGTCAGCTCAGGAGGGGCTGCAAGGCACTGGTTTTCACAGCGAGTTCTACTGGTCTGCAAAAATGGCACCTTTCTACCTCTGTTACAGAGATGGGTAAGAGCTAGCCTTGACCTAACTGCAAGATGGAATATCATCAGTATGTGGGCTTTGGAATGGATTAAATGTTCATCATCCTGTACTGAAAGGTTAATGCAGATGGTGAGGTTCAAGAAAACAGTCACTCAAAATACTTTCCTATGCTTACTCCAAATTTACCTTGACCTTTTCAGAACACCATTTTTGTCTAGGAATAGTTTCAATTCCTATTTATGGGATAATGTCAAAAATTCAATTTTGACCACTCTACTAAGATTTTCATTTCCTAACTTGGCTCCTGCAGTTTTCATAATGAAAGGAAAACCACTGTTATATTTTAGAAGACTCTGACACAGAAGGAAACATTTAGAAATACAAAATAATTTAGGTTGCAATCAACAGAGAAAGTCATTATGTCCAATCCCTGTCTCCCTCAGCAGGGCTAATGAGTCAGGTGAATAGCTGAATACTCATTCCGGAATTGATTGTACCAGGGGAATAACAAGATAGTAGCTACAACTAATTAAGGAACTTGATTATCATCTTGTCTCTGAAATACCTGATGAAAAAGTAAACTTAATTTTATAAACTTATCAAGCATCAGAATTTAATTTTTCATATTTAAGAAAGGTACTACATCAATCAATTCTTGTGTTCACTGCCATCATGGGTTTCTGCTTCCACGTGAAACAGAGAGGTGATTGGAGAGCTCTACATAGCATATATTATATATATATATATATAATATATATAATTTCCTTAAATTAAGGTTCCAGGCAGAAAATAATTTTCCATTTCCACCATCTTAAGCAAAATAATATTTGAGGCTGTTACAACAGTTATTTGGTACATTTAACAGAATCAGATACTTTCTCTATTTTAGCAGCTGTTTATACTACCCATTTTTGGAATGTCACTTTCCTACTCTGAAGGAAGGACTCTCTACATTTTCCCCCAGATATTCCACTAATAAAACTGCAGCATACTTTGGTAAGAAAAACATAATATCCTCCAAGAGCTTATTTGGAACTTGGCTGCCCTTCTCTAATATTAAAGGAAAAGTATTCCTTTAAACTTGGCTAAGCAACTTATATTTTTCCTGAGCTTATGAGAAAGTGAGAGTGGAAAACTGCTGGAGGACATCTGCTTGAGATCACTACTGCATAAGCTCTGGAGATGTCTGGTAACTCCATACAACAAAAGCAGTTCCTAGTGAACCTTTACAACTGAGCTCTACTTACAGAAAAATCATCTATAACATGATTTGCTTCAGTGGATTGTGATAGGCTCACCAAGCAAAGACATTCTTTGTGATAATCCTCTTGTAATACAACTAACACGACCACTAAACAGTTAAGCTTTCAATTTTAAGGATTAGTACTTGAGCTGCAATCCACTACTAAGTCAGAAGAAAAAGAGGAGAAAATGAAGAGAAAACTTATTGAGAAATCACCCTTGGAGTCACCTACTTACTATGATTTTTTTTTCCTGAATCTGGCCTATGTGGCCTGCTTAGAGCAGAGGCTGAAAAAAAATGTTAGAATCTCAAGCAGATCTTACTTTATTCCAAATAATTTCTGCTATTATTCTGAAGGCTCCAGAAAATGGAATAAAACAATTAATGTGATACTTAGTCAAGTTTGTCTCAAACAGCTGTACTTCCGAGCTGTTGATAAAGGACAAAATAACAGAGAAAGAGACAGTTTAGAGGCCAGAATTATGACTTGTGAACAGCTGCAGTTTACACTAAGTCAGCCAAGAGAATAACTTAAACTTGAAAGTAGTATGGAAATTGTGATGCTGAACAGTTCATTAATAACCAGTCAGACAAGCCAGTGGTGGGGCTGGGGGAAGGAGAGCAAAGAAATTAAATGAACATTCCTTATTATGGGATAAGACCAAACATTTCACAAGCCTATATAAGCTATGCTTCTCAAAGCACAGCACATAAATTATTAAATACAGTTATCACTGCTGTTCGCTCCTACACAACATTCCCAAGGAAGTACAGAGCAGTCATGGTCTACAAGAAGCAAAGATTATTGCTAGGCAATTACTGTACACACTCATTACACAGAATATTTGGACAAGAGGACTGTTTTCCTATACACCTACAGTACAGCTACAAATTTGACTAACAGTGAGCACTATGTTACAGAGTGAAAGCCAAGCTGCAGTCACCATGGTAGAGTTTCAGAGTTGCCCTAGGCAGGAGGAAGATATCACAAACAATACCTGGATAAAATTCATAGAGCTCAGGTAAATACACATATATTTTGCAGATAACAAAAAAAAAATAAAAAAATATATATATACATTCCAAGTAGAGAAAATTAACTTGTAACTCAGAAAACAGAAGCTCAAAGGAAGTAATTTTGATGATAAAAGAGATAACCAGATGTACAAGCCTAGCAAAATGAAGAATTATTAGTCTCTACCAAAACCTCCTGACCATGTACTCACATATATTCCATTTTACTTCTGTTGTTAACACTTTTATCACTCCTCTTTACTGACAGCATCATTTACTCCAAGGGATTAATAGAGAACACATAAAATAGCCTGCTATTAAGTGAAAAGAATGCAAAAGAAATGAGTCAACACAAAATTTTCAGTAGACTATCAAGAAACATCGACAGAACTTCCTTTCCAGTTTAACACTTAAAATCTTAGCAATGATCTGGAAAAAAACAAAAAAATGAGCATATTGCTAACAAGATTTGTGGACTATTAACTACAACAGCTTATTGAAAGCACAGGTAGCCTATATCTCCTCCGGGTTATGCACAATCAACCCATTTAAACTGCGTGCTTTTTAATATCTAACAGTGCCAGTGGATGTGCATGCAAATAAAAGAAGAGATTACATTAGAGAATGTAGTAGCATCTCAGACAGACTGCGCAGCAAGAGCAGAATAAGAAGAGTGATCAGAGGATGAATAACTTTGTATGAGTTTCCAGGATGCCACTGCAGGGAGAACTGCTCTGGATGTGAATGACAACCTTATTAGCACAGCTCTGTGACTGAGCTTATATGGCCATATGGTTTAAGAACCACACCTGGCTTATGGCCAGACCCTTTGGAGCGTGTGCCAAAATAAGTTCTCACTTGTCAAGCCCAGGCTTTTAGATATGGCCAGATGAATCTGAAATAGAATATTTCAGAATCAATGCATGTTGGAGCACTTAATAGTTTAAAATTTTCTCCCATCCCTTGCACACCAAGCTTGGCATTTGAGAATACATACAGGTTTGACGAAAGTAACATTTTGATTTATGCTGTAGGTTTCTTGGAGCGTTGCTTCAAAAGCTGACTCATATCTTAGAACAGTGTTTTCCTTTATTTAAAGTTCACTGAAAAGGTTCCTATGCAATATCATTAGCAATTTAAAGTGTCAAGAGTGATTAATTATTAAAGTGTACTATGCCAAAACATGAAACTCTTGACTCAAGTACTGGCAAACCCTCAGCAATACCAACACTTTTAATTTCAGTGACTATTCACACCTGGTAAGAAAGGAAAAAGAGCTATTCAAATTTTTAGAAAATCTAGTTTTTCGTATGTGTAACATGAAACAATATAGTGATATTTCTAGAATGCTCTTCCAAATCTGCAGTATTTTATACATCTATGCATTTTATAGCCAGCTCTGGTGTCTTTGAATTTGATAAAGTTTAAATCTTTTTTCCTTCATTGCTTATCTCTGTGCTTCCTGCAGAAGCCTTTGGCATCCACCATGCTTCTGGCACCGTGCTGCTCAGCTACATGTTTTGTTATGAACCACCTTCTTTTGTTTGAACCTGCTGCCTAGTAATTTGCTATCTCCACCCCTTCCTTATAAAGGATATCACTCCCCACACGGAACAAGAAATCCTTGTTCATCCCATCTATGCCACTTTTTATGGACCCCCACGTATTGTTCTGGAAAGTTGTCAAACTTTACTACTTACTATGAGCTCAAGTCTGCCCTTTCTGTGTATTAACTCAGAATTTTATCTCCTGTTTCACTAAAAGCCAGTTTAAATTAGGAACATTTTCTACTTCTTAAGTGCAATTATTGCCTGTTGGGAAATCCTTCTGGGTTTGTGGAACTGTTTGCAGTTTGCCATTGTCAAAGCTACTCCAAATAACTCATTTGCACTGCCAAATTTCAGTTTGGTAATTTAATTTTTCAACACCGGGATGAGTAATTTGAGAGTGTGGCCTCAGCAGTAACAGATTCCTGTGAGAGGCCAGTAATAAGCCTAAAAAATTTGTTTTAGAAATCTAAAATGACAATACACTTGTCTTTGTTGTGCAACATGACCTCCTCTCAAAAATGCTGTGTTGAGTAATTCATCCTCTATCCTAATGTTCATCCTAATATCTGCTAATGTTATTCTTTAAACAAGTTAATTTAGTTGCGATAGATGTCAGGCTTACTTCCCAAATTAAAACCACATACCAAAACACAAAATTTCAAGGAATACAGCAGGAAGAGTGAAGACAAACAAGACTGCGGTGGGGGGAAGATTTTGAATCCTTTCAATTTAAATTAATATATTGTTTAAACACATGCACAATTAATTGCCTAGGCTATATTAATAAACTTAGAGTTTGAAAAGACACATTGCTATACACTGCCAAGACTGTTTTGGATATAAATTTTGGCAGGCATTGAAAATATTTACACACCTCAACACTCCATAAAAGAAATTACAAAAAACAGTTCAAAGTGGGAGGAGCAGGATCTTACTACATTACAGTACTTTAGGGTTTGCAGATAGTGAGTATTTATTAAATGCCTCCCTTTTTGCCTCCAGAAAAGGTCCTTTTTCACTTGCAGAGATTAATTATACTATGCCTACAAGTTACAATATCAAACTGGCAATACTGCACATGAAACACAACTTCAGATAATTAAAAAAGCCCTTTAGTTACAATCATTTAAGTGCAGAAAACACTTCTAGAAAGAGTTCTCTGCTAGTGCAGCAACACTCATTAGTTTGCAAATTAGTTCAGAAGGCTTAGAGAGGAATAGCTCCTAGTTTGAGGGGCTGGCGGTAGAGTGCTATGAAAAAAAAGCAAAATTGTGATTTTGCCACTTTCGCTATAGGAAGGTAGATTAATAAATCTCTGCTTTAGCTAACATTGTTAACAGTAACCTGAAACATGAAAGTTAAAAAATTAAAAACTAACAGCACTTACTACTTTCTACTAGGAATAGTGAGAGAAGAATTAGTACTCATGGAAGAAGTCATACCAGGAGATATGCCCTGTTTTGCTAATGGACAGATATGGTGCAAACAGATGCTGAGCTATTCCAATTTATTTGATTAATCTTGAAACATTTGTACACTTCATGTAATTAAATCAATAAGAGTATTTCTGTCTTTTCAAATAGTTGCTACAACACGGTAAAATCTAACATGGCATGTACAAAGGAAATAAAAACACTGCAGAGATATACAGAAAAGACATTGCCATTACAGAGGCATGTATGTGGCACTGGCTTCAAGGAGAAATCTTTCAGTGTTTCTGTAAAAGTACATTATTCTTGGTGTGGACACATGAAAGAAAGCACCTTCTGTTCATAACATGAATATATCTACAGTCTGCCAGTCTAAAGACTTTCTCAGCTTATCACATACACCCTTACAAGCACACTGCCTGCAGAACACCAGCAAGACTCAGGCAGTTCCTTGATTTCACAATTTTCATGGCTTGAGTTTAGGACCAAAGAAAAAAAAAAAAAAAGTAATTTCCAAGTCCAACAAGAAGTCTTCAGCTACAGAATAGCTCTACTACTAGTAGTTTGTACAAGGTGCTAAAGCAGGGTTCTTTTCCTTCCCCCAATATTAGAACCACCAGTTGTCCCTACCCTTTCTCCTATCAACATCCCACTGGCCATTTGCCTCTCCTCCTAGCCCTCATATAGTGTTTCTATTTCATGATGTTATTTCCTAAGCCCATCCATGTGTAATTACACCTCTCAAAAGCCATCTTATTTTTGTCCTACTGAGAAACACAGCATGACAGTTATTACGTGCCTTCAAGACACAGCAGTCATTATAATCTACCTGCAAAATGGAGATTGAAAGGAGCCATGCATTTATACTTGCAAAAATAAACTTAGAAGCAGTACCATTTGAAAACAACTCTCGCCTTCTGTGTCAGGAGAGCTGTACTGTAACTTTTGCCACATAAAGCACCACACAGCAGTGGACTCTGCTGTTCCTCACAGTGAGGTATAAAAGTCTTTATCCCGCAACAGCCACTCCCAGTACGTGCAAAGTAATGTAAATACAGCAATTAATTCAAAGGAGGAGAAGTGCTTCATTAGGTATCAAACAGTGCCTAATGAAATGTGCTGTATTTTACTGATACCAAGACGATTTGAAACTCATATTTTTAAAACACTTGAGACCTGGCAGCAAGAAGAAAAGACAGTCTTGGCAAATTGGAAATAGTTATGATGGATGACAGTGAACTGAAGGTCCTACTTGATTTCTGAAGGTTGGGAGGAAATTCACAGGACACAGAGCTGAAGGTAACCTATTCTCCATTAATACAACTCAGAATTACCTTAAATTAGTCAACCATTTGCAATTTTTAGTGTTTTGGTTTTTTTTTAATAAGAAACCAGGAAGATAAGGAGACTTGTCCATTCTTTCATGAAGGAAAGAAACCCAACACACAAACAGATCACCCTTTTATTGTTTTATGAAAAAGGTGGCATTTGTTGAATTCAAACATGATGGTACAGATCAGATCTAATAAATCTGAGGACACTTAGAGAAACAAGGTTTTGTTTGTAAAGAACAAAAGGTAGTTATGGATTCAGGCAAGGGTAGGTTGTGAGGCAGACCTGTTTGCAGATATGTTGCTCTTTGGTATTCTGTAAAGCAATTCAGCAGAAAGGGATCTAATATTTATTTTTATTTGCAGCAAGATCAACAAGATTGAAGGGGTTTCTGAGGAAAACTCCTCAGCAATAAGATCACATACGAGATGACCATGATGAGAAACTGATCTGCATTTAGACTGACTCTGCCTCTTACTCCTTTAAATACAGTTTTATTTTTCAATTCGACACCTGTTCTGTTTGACAGAGAATTGCACCTGAAGTGACTTAAACTTATGCAACATCCACAGAACTCCTGCTTAAGAATTTCACAAGTCAGTGCATCTACAGCTTTTTCTGCAAATCCATGCAATATTATCATTAACTCAAACCTTAGAAATGTTTATACCACTTCTGATTTCAAAGGAAACTATATGAAGTGTTTTAATTGTCAAGAAATTTTATGACATTTTCTTATACTGCAAGAAAGCAGAATTCCATTAAATAGCTCCTCAGCATACTAAATCACACAACTATCATTTGCCTGGAGACAATAAATAATTTTCATTTTTAGAGAAGAGAAGGAAACAGAAACATGATGACTCAGCCATGAAGTTAACTCAAACTACTCTGGTTTCAAAAACTCAAAAAGAAGTCCAATAACTAACTAGATAATAATTCCTTATTAACATTTCTGATATTACCTTGGTGTAGCCAAGCAGTGCAGCAAGATCAAAGTAGATGTTGTATTTTCCAACTTATTTCTGTAATCACAACTGCTGTCTCTAAGCAACCTCCAAATATAGTTGGGGATTTGATAAGTGCTCTATTTAGGCTGTTTTAGGAATGTTTCCACTTCAAGCTATCTTTTGCAAACATTCAACAAAGTAAGTTCCTGTTAAAATCAAAATAATGTATTGATTTTGTCTCAGCTATACAAATTAGTAATTTTTTCAGCTTTCTGTTTGGAAAACAAGCTATTTGAATAGAAAAATTGGTGTCAAACAGTTTAATTCTTCATTTTTCTGCAAAACTGAAGATAATAACAGTTCATAGGACTGTATTTATGCTTCCTCAGAATGCTGTTTCTCTTCAGCCACAAGTCCCACTTGGACACCGAGGAAGTCTTGCCTCATTACACTGGATTTCTGCAGTGTGCCTCTCCTACTAGAACTTTTCAGTCCCATATTTGTTCTAGACTGATAACAACTTGGGCTTTATTTAACACCTCCTGTGCAATATTTTGAAGTGCAAACAACAGTTATATTAATGAAAAAGAAAGCCTGATAAGGGAGTTTGGTACAAATGAACACATTTTTATAAGAAATGGAAATAAATGCCTAAAAACTGCACACAGCTTTAGCTACCTTCATGAGTGTAGAGAGTAGTTTGTTCCTTGTAGAGGATTTCTCCTCCACCCCCCTCCCCCTTAGTTCCCTGTTTATTGAATGTGGCATCAATGATTTCCATAGTAAATGTTTAAGACAGGACAGTATTTATTGCAGCAAAACTATATTTTTATCATGCAGCAATGCCATGCTCCATTTATTCTCATTCAGACACTAATCTATAAAAGTCACAGAAAGCACCTACATTTACTGTTACTTTTTACACATAACAGAAGCAAGAAACATCATGCTCAAAGACAGGGAGCAGAAAGAAAACATTTATCACTTATAAGCTTTTCAGCTGATTTACTGTTTTATGCTAACGTCACTAAGCACAAAAATACACTGTACTCACCAAATAAATTGCTCGAATGTCCTTGCTTAGATATAGGTTTCAGTTCATTTAATCCCCACGCGTAACGCTTATAATTATCCCAGGCGTGCTTCATCATCTGTAGGGAAATGAAAGCAGGATTAAAATGTTGATTTAGCAAGAAGCCACAGCAAACACCAACTTGAGAATATTCTCAGTATTAAAAACATTTAATTCAATTCTTAACCAAATTCCTGCTGTATGCATTAGATCTATGAAATACTCAATAAAGCATAACAGTGGCACTGTTTTCCAGGTGGCAGTGGGACAGCTGCTTTAAGAATTACACGACTGTCCTCTACATTTCTGTTACCTGCAAGCTTATGGTCAAAAATAATTAATTTTTAGGAAAGGAATTCATTGTGTCATATATCAATTCAACTGAGATTTTATTTCCCTTGAGCATACACCTCAGAAACTGAGGGAAGTAACATTTTTAAAGAAGGTTTTCCCCCTAGAACCTCTAGATTCTTCAAGGTGAACATAAAGCTTATAGTAGTTTTCAGATTCTGGCAGAGACCTGCTTACATAAAACTAGCTGGTTCAAGCTCAGCACAGGTAGTAACAATAGAAGGATGGCAAAGTGGCAGGCAGAACACCTAGAAAATGTTTTGAGGTTTTTACAATACTATCTTTTATGACTATAAATGCATCTGTAGCTACTTTCACACGTCATTTTGCACAGAGACGAAAACCTTTATGACTTAACATATCACCACCAAATCATATTTTGCACGAGAAGAGGTGCACCACAGATAAATACTGCTTTGGGAAATAGCCTTGCAGAGCCCAGCACAGAAGTGCTGTGGTAAGAGCAGGGGGCATCCACACAGAAGTCAGGGGAGTGTGTTGACTCAGGAATAGCTCACACTCTCCACCACCATCACCACACATATCTGGTGTGAACTGTCCTTTTTTCAGTGCGGTCCAGGTGCATGTCCAGGAGCCCAAACATGTGGTGAGAAGAATGCACACAGCTCTGCAGGCCTGGTGACAAACCACTGCCACTCCAGCAGGTCCAACACCTCCCCTTGGCAACCACCAGTTTGAACACCTCCTCAGGAATAGTCCTCTTTAAAGGTCACCACAAGCAGCATTACTTTACGTAACAGAAAGGAATATTTTGCCACCTTGCTGTTCCTCCTCCCCTCTTCCACAAGGCAGAGTAGGGCTGGGAATGCCAGAGGTCATCTTCTAGACAAAAAGTGACAATTTCAGACCTTTTCAGAGATACTGCTTCAGGCTGTCAGATGACAACACTGCTCTGTCCTTGCTTTCAGATCTCTTCTTGAGGCCTTGTGTGTCAAGGATAATTTTGTTAAATAACAGTTACAATCCTAAATTTAAAAGCAGCAGCCTTGGGACATGCTGATAATAGTAATCCTGCACTTTCTCCTTTCCTCTTTCCTTTGCTCAAACCTCAGAGAAATTATGTCAATTAAAAGTCTGCATTAAGCCATACTATAACAAATGACAACAGATTTTCTAGAATACTGCCATAGTCGTGAGAATAAACATTTCTCCACTATTAATGGGAGAAAAAATGCACATCTATCCTGCAGGAAAATTCACAGATGTTAATCTAAAATACAGGTCCAGCTTTACAAATACAAAAAATTGACAATGGCAGTTAATATGAGCATTTTCAACCGAAAGATTAGAATGGCTCAGATCTCAGCTGATAGGCATTAAGTCAGAGGCCCTGTGGAAATGGTCTCAGGCCATGGATGGCAGCGATATGCCGGATGGCAGGAGCTGTGTCCATTGCTTGACTTCACTGAAGAACGGCTCAGGAGCTCTCCCAGGATGGAGCTTTTTGTCTCAAAGCAGAAATGGTAGTAGGCAGCCAACTGGCAGGCTTCATGATTATGGTGCGTTCTCAATCCCTGGCTACAAGGATCAAGACTGCATGAAACCAATAATTTGTCCACAGCATATTTTCTAATTTACCAATTGAAATTTTCTGGTGATTTTGCCTTATTCTGCCCTGCCATCATATCCCAGACCTGCAAGCTCAGCTTTAGATATCAATGCACAAATTCTCAGAGATTTCAGGAGGCTAAATCCTAAGCTTTGTCAAAGCTTATTTTCTCATGCAATCACATCAGAATCTTTTCATTTGCTTAATCTTAATCAGGGCACACCACACAAAAGGGCATTTTTTAAAAAATAAACTAAACTTGTAATTAAGTGGCCTGAATCAAAGGGCCTAAAGATGTAGTATTATAACAACATTATAATTGCTCAAGCCACCACTGACATTGTCCTTCCCTTTTTCTCCTAGCACATCTATGCTGCTCCTCTTGCAAAGGAAATGCAGCAGTCATCTATTCCCAAACCAAGTCAGTTCAGGAAACAGAAACTTTTGCAAGTGATATTCTTTGTCTGAGTATCAATTTTGTCTTGTCTGATTCCCCAAATCAGATTGTCACAATTATCAGAGTTACCAAGAGGGAAAGGCAGAAACAGCTCCAGACCTGCTCAGTCCAGCCACAACAGTCATAAAGTGTGTGATGCTACAAGATGTTCTAGATGTAAGCATTTGCCTTTAGTTTTCCCCCATGGATTGACACTTCAATCATATTGTATCATAAATGTATGTGTGATTTGGTAGCAGAAACCACTCTGATTACCCTATAGCTCACCAACCCCTAGCTAGTAAGACAGGAAGATAACCCAGACAGTAGACACTACCTTCTAATATTTATTATTGTATGCCAATGAACATCAGATGGGTTGTTGGGGTTTTTTTTACAAAAATTTCCTCCCATTCTGCTAACTGCTATTCTACTCAGGTACATTTATCTAATTGCTTCCTAGGAAATTCCACAAGCCAAGCAGACAAGAAAAAAAAAACCAACAACAAAACGCCCAACAAACCAAAAAGCACTGCTCTGCCTAAACTTAAGGAAGTATTCCAGTACGAAAAACCCAACCAGAATTTACTGAGCAGATCAAAATCATCTCTTTTGGCTTATCAAAGTGTTCTTTGAAACTCTTCCAGAAAGCCTAGATTTAGACAAAACCACTGAGATTAGTGAGTAAATTTACTCCTAAGAAAACACACCTTTAGGACATCCTTGCTTAGACATTTGGAGATTTATGGACAAACATTGAAAGCAAAAGGCAGCTCCAAAAGCAGTCAGTGAGCCCTCTAGTGTTTCAGAAGAAACGAGTCATTCCAACTAAACGCACCCATGAACTGCTCTTTACAAAAAAGTTATTAGCTCATAGTGTTACTGTGTTACTGGGCAAAGAGCCCGCAGACACAGCAACCAAAGAACCCTGCCTTAATCAACACCGCCTTGCTACACAAGCGACCTTGGGCATCTACCCTATCAAGAAGTCTCAATTTCTAGGATTGAGTACATTAGAAATACTCTACATGCTTTCCCCTCTGTGAAAATTACAAAACCATATTAAGTTTCCCGCTACATTAACTTCCTATCTGTAAATAGCTTAATTTTCTATGTAAGAATGAAAAGGTTCTAAAATATGGAGGAGCAATTTTAATAGACCCAGCTCGCCAAGATAGTTCTTTGTTTAGGCAAAACTCCTAGCACTGGTACTTTGGAAATTAATTTCAACAGTTTTTTTTTTGTTTTTTTTTGAGAAATCCATCCATCTTGGCAGTCTTTACCTTTTTGTTTGCATGACATAGCACCAAATCATTATTTCCTGATTTTTTTTCCCCGGTAATTCACAAAGAGTCTTTTGATCACATATCTGACTACTTGTACAAGTAGCACTTGTACAAGTGCTGTTGATCACTCGAAATCTCTAAAGGTTACAGTTACTGAGAACACCTGGTATATCAACACAACATTACTGATGATATTAAAAAGAGAAATTCCCAATGAGGAAGGCTCCAACAGCTTTTGACTAGATGATTCTTGATACTCAAACTCCTCTACAGTACAACTAATAAAATTATTTTAAATAATTCCATATTAGTCTTCCAGCATGTTAACAGGCAGAGCTACATTTGCATGTAAGCATCCCCCAGTCCTTCCAGTTTTATTACATGTTTAAAAAAAAAATCCCAGAATGGTTGGGATAGGAAAGGAAAGATGATCTGGAGATGAACCACTTCCAGCCTCTGTGCTAAAGCAGGTTCAACCACAGCAGGTTGCACAGGATTTTGTCCAGGCAGGTTTTGAGTATCTCTATCTCTAGAGAAGGAGAATCCACAACCACCAGCTGTTCCAGTGCTCACAGTAGAGATGCTTTTTCCTCACATTTAGATGGAACTTCCTGTGTTTCAGTTTGTGCCCATTGCCACTTATCTTGTTGCTGGGCACCCCTGAAAAGTCTGACCCCATCTTGACCTTAAGATATTTGTATGCATTGATAAAATCCCATCTCAGTTGTCTCTTCTTCAGGTTCAACAGGCCCTTAAGCCTTTCCTCGTAACAGAGAGATGCTTTAGTCACTTCATCATCTTTGCACCCTTTTGCCAGGCCCTCTCCAGTAACTCCTGGTCTTTCTTGAACTGGGGAGCCCAGAAGGGTTCATTTGAACCTTAAACTCCAAAACAGACTGACAGCTCTTTCTCTGTGAAAGCAGAAACAAAACCCTTTCCTGCAGCCATAATATTGGCCAACTAAAAGATGACGATAACGCATTCCCATTTGTTGGTATTTCAGTTACTGTCATCTTTCAAAGCACTCTAACACAACACTAGAGAGGACATATAAGGCACTTGAAATTTGCAAAATACAGTTCTATTCAAACATTGACAGAAAAGAAAACAACAGCGATGCTGAATTAGCACAGTAATAGTGGTGCTCAGATGGAAACCCTTGCAGTACCAGGTGGAGTGAAAATAATAACTTAATAAGGTTTATTTTTAGCAGTTACATATAAGTGGGGAGATGCAAAAGAGGATGTCAGGAAAAGAATTAAAGCACCTTTTAGAACTGGGATATTAAAGGAGAAAAAGGATTAATTGCATGAAATAGTACCATCTTGACCTTCAACAGAGCCATTTAAATCTTGCCAAGTCAGAGGAGGAAGGCAGAAGACGAAGGTAACTGAAAGTTCAAGAAATGAAGAGACAAAAAACCCCAAACAACTCCC